AGGCAGCCAGGAAACGGCTGGAACACACCCCACCGGCCGCTTTTCCAGGTGCTCCCTGAGCACGCACAGCTTCTCCCAGCCATGGGTCACCACCAGCCAGCCCGGGACGCCCAGCGGGAGCCCGCTGCCCTAGAGAGGCCCGAGATGCTCAGGGCCTTGGGAGCCTGCTGCCCACGGAGGGGACCAGGATGCCTGAGGGTCTGGGATCCCCCTGCCCATGGAGGGGACCAGGATGCCTGAGGGTCTGGGATCCCCCTGCCCATGGAGGGGACCAGGATGCCTGAGGGTTTGGGATCCCAGGGAGCAAATGGAGTTGTCCAGAGCTGCAGCGAGCGGGATGGCTCGTGCTGCAGCAGGGCCGCAGCTCTTCCCCACTGGCATCTCCAGCAGCGTTTCTCAGGTTCTCTCCATCCAAGGGCCACCTGAATGAGGCAGGACGACAGCAAAAGCTTGCTTGTAGCCAGCTGAAAGCCTGGCCAAGCTTTGTGTGTTTTCTCGTGTGCCCACACCACTCAATTTCTGTGCTGCGTGCGGAGGGACACGGAGGCGGCCGGTTCTGTCAGTCTGCAGCCACTTCCAGCTCCTGGGGCTCTGTTTCCTGGCACGCTGCAGAGAAGCACCCTGCCACGCTGGTGCACGTCACAACACATGCACGCACACACACGTACTCCCTTTCCAACTGCCCTGATGGGGAAATTGAGGCACAATCTCATGGACAGTCCCAGCTGGGGCTGGCAGAGAGCAAAGGATTGGGATTCACAGGGAAAGCCGTTTTCTGAGACCCTCTTCTGGACCAAAAAAAGCTTTTCAGCATTTCTGATGAGTTGAAAACTCATCAGGTCCCAGACCTTTTTGTTCAGACGGATGCTCTTGGGAGGGTCAGGGCCGGCTTCCCTGGCCAGCGGGAGGTCCAGGATCAGGGACAGCCATGCCGGGCCCCGCCATGGTGCCATGGACGTCTGCAGAGCTCCAGACAGCTGAACTACAACATTCCAGCACCAGAAAACCATCGGTTTTTCCCAAAACTGCCCCTACAACAGCAGCAAAAGCCCGGCTAGCCCTCCTCCCCACTCCGTGCGGGGTGGTGAGATGCCAAATACAAGAGCTCAGTCCCAGGCTGTGGCAATCCCTGATCCTTACCGGGACTGAGCATCCGGGCGTCTTTCACCCACGCAGGCACCCACCTCAATATCCACAACCTCACGGCTGCACCTTTACTCGCTGGAAGCTCGGCACACGCGCGGGTGCAGCAGGAGAGCTGGCAGGCGTTGCCATTTGCCTCCGAGCTTGGGTTTGGCTGCGGGTGCCGGGGGCTGCCAGCCCAGGCAGGCGGGTGCCACAGCTCGGACCGGTCCCGGGTCGGCGTCACTGGCCCGGGGTGAAGCCACCGCGCTGCCGACAGCCGGGACTTGGGAGGGAAGCGCTTTTCTCTGCGCTGCCTCCAGCTGTGATTTACGCGGGGTAAACATTGACCGGCCCTTGTGACTTCTCCAGCCATGTCTGAGTATTTGAGCTTTGCGGAGTTTCCGCAGAAAACCCTGAATGGCAGAAATAAGGGCTGTCCCTTGGGTTTAACTCTTCTCGGTCACCAGAGCTTAAAGCCAGAGGAGTCTGATCGGCGCAGGGAACAACTCGACACCTCTTGTTCAAGGGCTGCTGTTGAGTTTTAGTCTGGAAATATCTCTGAGCTGCCACAGTTCTGTGCCCCAGCACCAAATTTAGGCAGCCCCAGGTCTGCATTTCCTCGGGGCACCAGGTGGTTCGAGGGCCCCCCGCTATTTCACAGCTCTGCCCCGGTGCCGGGGTGGCAGCGGCCGCGTGGGCAAGGCCTGGCACCCGCAGAGCTGGGGTGACATCGCTTTCCCAAGCTCATTTTTCCTCAGCTCCTCCTTCACGGGTTTTTTTCCCTACCTTCGCAAGGAGGAAACAAGAATTGCTGCTTGGCGATGGGTGACATTGCTGTCGGATGTCCAAGAGCGGGAGGGAGGGACCTGGACGGGGGCCCTTTGCAGAGCTCTGGGCTGCGATGCAGGGCACGAACGCTGCGGCACAGCCGGTGAGCGCACACCGGCGGCACTTCACTCATCGCGCCAGGCTTTACCATGCCAGATCTGGATGGGGAAGGCAAGCCGCAGGGCCACGGAGGGCCCAACCGATTTCTTTGCCAAGCAGCCAGTGAATCAACAAGAGCAGTGCTATTCTAGACCTGCTTCGGAGACAGAACAAGGGCATGAAATCACCAAGTTCATTACCACAGGATGCCGGCGAGGCCAAGTATGTAAATGGGTTGGAGAGGGACGAGGTCTGTTGGTGGAGGTAGATCCATTCGGGCTATTAAGGTACTTCCGTCCGGATGCAAACCCTTTCTCAGGAAGTCCCCAAGCTGCCAGCCGGCCGCGGGGAGGGACGCCGGGAAGCACATCTTGTTTCTCCTGCTCTTCCCGTGAGTAGCGTTACAGAAGAGCCGGCCGTGGAAAAATACCCGGGGGGGCCAGCAGCTGCAAAGGAAAGAAAAAGAAGCAAAAACTGCTGTTCAGCAGCTGAAAAGGAAAGAAAAAGTAGCAAAAACTGTTGCAGAGGGTTTCAGTGTTGAAAGGGGTTGGAGTAGTTAGCGAGGGCAGGCTTTAAGGTGTGAAACTGCCAGGGGTCCCTGCGGGATGGAGGACAGCCCAGACCTCGGCGGCTGAGCAACCGGCGCGCGAAGCAGGCGGGGAAGAAAGCTGGCAAGAAAAGGAGACGAACAGCCTGCTGCTGGGACAAGGGAGGGCTGCCAAAAACCCAGCGGGGCCAGGCCCGGGGAGCCCAGCCAGGGCGAGCGGCACAGGGCTCCCGGCCATGGGTGGGACGAGGGCGGGCGGCGCACGAGGCCACAGGGGCCAGGCAGGCTGGGGGGGCTGTGCCGGGGAGAGGCCGGCGGGGCAGGGAGCTGGAGCCCGGCCACCCACAGGCCCCCGGCCAGCAGCGGTGCTGAGCTCAGGGCAGCGGACACCCCAATGCCGGGGTGACACGGGCACGGGGTGACACGGGCACGAGGTGACACGGGCACGAGATGTCCCTTTCTCCAGGGTGACCATCGAGGTGAGCAGGGTAGGGACATCCCCATCCCCAGGGTGACTGGAGTAGGGGCTCCCCATCCCGAGGGGTAACCAGGACAGGGGATCCCCCATCCCCAGGGTGATCGGGACAGGGGATCCCCCATCCCAGGGGTGATCGGGGCAGGGGACACCTCCCTTCCTGGGCTCACTGGGACAAGGGACACCCCTTCCCCAGGGTAACCAGGACAAGGGACCCCCGGGGTGACCAGGGCAGGGGACACCCCCCTTCCTGGGCTCACCGGGACACCCCTTCCCCCCAGGTGACCGGGAGGGGGGATATCCCACCCCGGGGGGCCGCGGGGACAGCAGGGACCCCTCCCGCTCCCCCGGTGGGACCTCCGTGCCAGGGGCGAGCGGGGACCCCGCCGGGGGGGAGCGGCCCGGGGGCGGTGCGCGGCC